GTCTCCTTTGAATCACATCTACGTGCACCAATACGCAACAACTGAGGCACAGAATCCACGTTGGCATGTGAAGACGTTTATTGCACAGTAGTAAATTTCTTATATATCGTAAATTAACCTGGAAGTAATTCTACACCACAACACACTCCGATCAGTTACTTTGTCTCAGAATATTTTCTTTTATGGTACTAGGTAAACAATACCTTTTACGGTAGCAGTGTTCTTTTAGTCTCACATGAACTAGTAGTTACAAACTTTTCTTGTGGCTACCTACTTAATTCGTGATCAAGTTATGTTTACTAATTCCAAGGCTTCTTTCACAAAGACAGCAGATAGGCCTCACTTTCAAGGTCCATTGTTCTGCTGTTACCACTACCAATATTCTGTAACCCTACACAAATAGAACTCCATTCAAAACCTGCTTTTAGGCAGTATTTTTCAACTTTGAAAATATTCCTTACCTTCACGTTCTAGATACCACTTTTATGTTCAGGAAATCATACTGTCTTTTTCACCAAGTTTTCTTTAAATAAAACAGCTCAATTAGTTTTGTCGAGAGCTAATGAAGATATTTCAAATAACAATTGTGTAGACGTAAATAGCTAGATTTTTAAATGCGCTCAGCTGCATTCTAAAAAGACATACATAAATACAAAATGCATCGCCATTTCTTTTTGTTAGTTAATCCACAAACACCAGAGATTTATGTCCAAAAATCCTCCAAAATGAGGAGTCCCATAACCTTATTCAAATAAATGGAGAGACCATGGGACATTTCCATGGGGTCTCTCAAATTGTTAGAGGACGCAGCCTCCTTTTTATCCTAATTTCTTGGCCGCATTTCCTTCTCTCTCTCCCTATTGGCTGAGGGACTTGAGAGGTACAGGCTCCCCAAATCATTCAATACAGACCACCATCTAATGCACATCCTTCCCCCCTCTTTTTAATTCTTTGTGTGTCTGTTCTTTTTCTCAGTCCAGGGATTTAGCACTGTTTTGGGTGAGTAACAGTCTGTGTCACTTGGTGAAATTCCTATGGAATTTATAGTTCGTCCCATTGCTCCTTTCACCTATCTGTATCTGGCCTTATCTACCAGCAGACCCCATAATTTATTTGTAAAGACATTGATCATTCCTTGTGGAGGCCGAAAGCTGGCATTGCAGCCTTGCAAGTTCTGAATCTGAAAATCAACCAATAATAGTGTACCCCTGAGATCTGGAAAAACAAAAGGGAGTCTGAAAGTCTGGATGGAGGAGGACAAGACAGAGGAAGACATTACCAAAGCAATGTGACTGAGATGCCTTGACTGTCTCTGGGAAAAGGAAACGGAATGTTGAAGAACAGTCAGATTGGGCAGATGCCAAAGACAGAGCAATATTGTGAGAATTAATGACACCACAGCTTTTGCAACACACCAATCATATGCTGACGAGTAGAGAAGGGGTTGCTAATTAGCAAATAGACAATTGCCATTTATGTGGAAGACTTAGTATACACCTATTGCTAAATAGATAAAAGGGGCTCAGCCCCATAATCAAGTGGTCTGTCAGTGTCTTTTGCTCATTATTTGTGTCGCGTTGTCTGTCTCTACTGCGAAAATTCCTTTCATTAGAAAACTTTACACGTTTTTTTACAAAACATATCTGTAAATCTTCTGCAGAGCACATTCTTCTGCAATGTTTTGCAACAATCCGTAGTTAATTAGTTTGCATATTATTGGGGGAAGAGTCATTAAAAGAAAAGACATTAAAGTGGGCTTTTTTTCATTGATTACTCAAAAAGGTATCTGATCTATGGAAGCCTAAGTATAGATATATTTGGACAAAGATGTCCTCAGATACAATAAATGAGACTAGAACATGGTTTGAAGACCTATAGAATCAGATCATTTCAGGGTTTAAGGGCTTAATATGGCTTACATTGGCATCAGGCARTATGCCCCTGTGTAACCTCCAATCAGACCAGAAGACCATGATCACTTCTGATGTCTTCATTTCTCAAGATCACCTACAAGTCATTCCATAAGAACTTCATAAAGGATGAAATGAAACAACTTGAGGTTGGTTAGAGAGTGGTCCTAGCAAATATTAGGGTTGTGGGTTTGATGACTGTATGGAGCTTTGACTTAAGAATTAGGGCTGATGATCTTTGTTGGCCCTTTTCAACACAGAATATTCTGTGATGTAGACAGACTGATAGAGGCAAGGGAAGAAGAAATAGATGCATTCTGTATGATGCCCTTTGGTGCTACAAGTACCAGGAAACACATAATGACATTTTAGTTGAACTAACTCAACAAGAMAAAGGAAGAATATACTGATCTCCTAAGTGCCTTTCTCTGAATTACTGTTTCATTTCCTGATTAAATGTTCTCAGACATCCTTGACCCTCACATAATCGTGTGAAGTATTTTCTCTGCTCTTTCAATTCACTTGCAAGACCTGTTATATGGAGCTGAAAAAAATTGACCCATTTGTTTTTCTCAAAGGTAAAACTCAAGTAAGTTCCATTATTTTTAACAATTTAAAAGTCAGGGTCTTTCACTGATATTCAAGTTCTTCCACCTTTTGGGTGTAAGATAAGAAAGTTGCTTATTCCTTTTATAAATGAAAAAGGTTCTATACTTTAATTTAGAATGGGGAAATATAATCCTAAGGCACATCTTTCAAAAGATATATATATATATTCAGATATATGTATACCAGAATGATAACAGAACATCACAATTTTAAAAAATTCTGTTTCCTTTGTCTCGAACCAATAAACTAGACAGCAGTCATTAACAGTCAGGTACCATTTAAAAAAATCTAAAAATTACTGCCAAATCAGTTTCCACATGCAGGTTTGAAGTTATGTGGCACTTCATGAAAGAACTATCTTCTAGCTCTCAAAACAAATTTTTGCACACAAACTTGAAGTTTATTTATAACTGACTTGAATACTGAACAAATATGTGCATTTCAATGATTAAACGAAAAAAAGGAAAAAACCGAAACCAAAGAAACAAAGAAATATACAAGAAACTTCAGTAATTCTTTTTGTTTCAAAATAAAGAACATAAATTGCTCTGCCTTTTTGGTTTCTATCTCAAAACCCAAAGACTATCTTAATCTGCTGATTTTAAGAGCATTAGCTTCTCATTTAGGGGGAAAAAAACCTTCAGAAAACACCCTGTCCATACAGCACGAGAACATTTGGTTTTAAGGATGGTAGTTTTGCTAAGAGGGCATTTTAAAATACTAATATTGTCATCCCATAGTCTTAGTGACCAAGGCAATCCTCTTTTCTTTTCCCTTCATGCTTTCCATCTAACATGCGGTTTGCCACAATGAATGTCATCACATCACCCTGAGTGAGAAAACCAGCACTGTTAGACTTTACACAGTCCATGCATCATGGACATTTCTGTAGGACAATTTAACATCAGTGACTGATGTTCTAGGAAATATTCTTCCTTCACTTTTGAATGCAACAGTTTCCTCTGTCCCTGTGCTGCAAAGAAGTTGCTTGGACTTGTCAAGAGAAAATATATCTCAGGGCAACTCATATGACAGAAGCAGTATGATACTGGCAGTGGGAGGATCTGAATCAGTCAAACGCTGTCAAAGTCATACACTTCATACAGAACTATCATGGAAGCTTATTCACTTGCTCCATCCTTCCAGCACCTTCAGCAAAATCTGTTCATATAATCTGAAACATTGTTCTCATTAAAAGGACTGCATTTTTTTTTTCAAGGGRAAGACACATGATAATTTAAAGGCTCACATGCTATTTAAAACAGTTTTACAATTTCAAATTCAGACTCATTGTGTGATGCAAGACCTTGAACATGTTTTCCCAGTTAACCAACTGCTAAACTTGTTAACTAATCACTSTTTTTGCATTATCTATAGTGATTTTATATGACCAATATGATTGATACACTGCTAAGTTCAAGGCSTCTGGGGTAATGAGTCTGCTCCTGAACAAAATCTGGTTGTTGTCCATATTACTTCAACTGCAGAAATATTTCTGTACAAGGCTTCCTTGCTACTCTGGCACTTTATCCATTCCCTTCAATACACTGACTAATGACAAAAGAGCTCACTGCCAATGTGTATTTCCCATTTTGTAGGCGCCCTATACCCCTGAAATCCTTGCTGTACCATACAGCAAAAAAAAAAACAAACAAAAAAACAAACAAACAAAAAAAAAACCCCAAACAAACAAAAAACCACCACTTTGTAATGGATCTTGAAAATTAAAGGATTATCCTATCAGAACAGAGTTTAGTTGAGCAACAATGCAACACAAGACCAATAACCCTTACAGCAGAGTCATTCTGTAGCATTACCCTAAACCAGGGTCCTGTGTTCCAGGTTCACTGGATGCTTCATCAGCCTTGGCTGTGGTCTGCCCAGACACAACTCTTTCCCGGTCTTTCCATCACTGGACCACAACTGAAGCAAAAATTGGAGTTTTCAGGCCCTACTGCTTTCCAAACTATCTTTTTGCTTATTATTGAACAATACACCTGGCGCAGGTAGCTCGGTAGCATCAGAGGACCAGCTCGGGCTGTTTCTGTGTTACTGCGCCATCAATAAAGAGACATCTGCTGTGGGAAACCCGGTATGACTGTGAGTGGGATGTGTGGGGAGACAAGCAGGGATTCATCGGGTCACTGGAGCTTCCGCTGAGAAGGGACTTCGATGACAGCAGTGACAGGTCTGGTGTTGGGAGGTGGTTGCCAGGGAGTGTCACAAATAGTCACACTGGGAAGTTTCCTTAACATTTCTGCTTTCATTGAAGTCAGTTATAAAATTTCTATTCTTTTGCACATTGATGCTAAAATAGAGGACTGGTTGAATAAAAACAACCCTGCCTTAAAGCTGTTGCATTCGAAGAAGCCCCTGACTCGCCCAAATGTCACCGACCACCCACTGAAAAACGGTGGCGCCCATGAAAGAAATAGAGAGATACAGTGGGGTGGGGAGGGGAAGCTTCCGCTTCCGGCGGCCGCACAAACGGCGGCGGGGCCCGGCCGCGCTGCGGGGTCGCGCTGGGCGGGAGGCGCGGGGAGATGCAGCCGCCGGCGCTGCCCCAAGTCCTGGCGTGGCGGCTGCTGCTGGTGCTGCTGGTGGCCGCCTGCTGCGGGGAGGCCGCGGCCCCGCGCCCCGGGAACGCCGCCACCGCCTCCCTGCGTCCCACGGAGGCGGCCGGCGGGGCCGCCACGCGGAGCAGCAGCAGTAGCAGTAACCGGCTGGCCGAGGTGTCGGCACCGCCCGAGCAGGGCCAGCCCATGACCCAGCGCGCCTTGTCCGTGCTGGTGCTGGCCAGCGCCGCCCTCATCGTCTACTTCGTGATCCGGACCGTGCGGTGAGGGGCCAGGCGGGCACGGGGGTGCAGTTGCGGGATCGGGACTGCGTAGCGTGTTGGGTCCCGCGGCTCCTAAGGGGCCGGCGAGGAGCGCCCGGCTGCGCTGGGAATTTCCCGGTGCCTGTTCCCTGCTGTGGGCGGGAGGAGGTCGGTTGGCTCCGTTCGCGTCACTGGCAACCGTATATCGGTGTTGGGCCTTTCCCGACTCCTTCCTGTGCCCTCTAGATGGACGTGTCAACTGCAGGCATCCGTCAGCCCATTTGAATTTAATTTGTATGTTCTGTGAGTGACTTTTGTCCAGTTTGCGAACTTCTGTATCGCTAAACTACCGAAGTTGTCCTTTGCCAGTGAGCATCTGTCTTCTATGCTTTCTTTCACAGTAAAATTAACCTACTTTGTGTCTTTTTAAGGAAAGGGGTCTTGTAAAGCTTGGACTGCCAGTTATTTGCTCTTCCGTTTCTCACGGAAACTACTGATCACATAACTCGATGTGCTTTTTCAGTAAAATACAGTGGCTGTCAGTGTTTTTTTTGTCCTTGCAATTTTACTTCTGTCTCCCATGCTTTAACTTGAGCTCCTCAAGGAAAGGCCCAAATGTGTGATTATGCATAAAGCAAATCAGTTATGGTGTAGGTTCTCTATGTACTCTTCATTGCATTTAGATATACTCATGCCTAGTATCTACATCATTTAGTCTAGAAAAGCAATTGACGGTGTTTTTAGAATGTCATGTACTAAGATACATGCCAAATGAACTAGTCTATTTTGATTGGTTTATAGTTCTTAAAGATAACTCTTGAGAAGCCTTCATTTCATTCTTATTTTCATTAGGATGCATATCTTAATAATAAAATACTGTAAAGGAAATGTCAGTCATTTTTTAAGCAAATAAAAATAGGCAAGGGCATGYCTCAGTGTCAGTGTATTTTGTAACAACAGCCCATTGGATTTGGAGGTGTGAATAGTACTGTAGAAAGGCCAAATAAATAAAACCTCTCATTGCAGGAGCTGGAAAAGAAAACTATCGTCTATCATTATTATTTTCCGAATGAGTGGTAATTACTTCATATTCCAGTTTTTGGCAGTAGAATGCTGTTCTGCATTTGAAACTGGAGTGCTGTCTCCTAGGTGCAACTGTAAACTGGAAGATTAACACCTCACATTATTCTGTAATTCTGCTGCATCTTGCTTCTGAAATTTGCAATAGGTTAATTGTTTGTTTTTGAATTTGAACTTGTTTTTTGCAGTGTTTGTATAAGAAATAGATTCAGTGCAAACGACCCATTTTTTGGATAGGTTTCCTTGGCATGAAGACATACTTTGTTCTAAGACATAAAAACTTAACAGCTTTTTACAAAGTTTCAGCCAGTTCACCTGCCCAGTGGGTGAAGGGAAGTGTTTCTGGATTTTAGTAAGGCTTTTGATGCAGTTCTTCATGGTGCTCTTCTGGACAGCCTCTCCAGCTGCATGGTGAGCAAGTTCGTGGAGAACTGGGTGAAGAGATAGCTGAATGACAGGGCTCATAGGGTTGTAGCGAAGAGGCTTGTGCCCGGCACCAGTGGTGCTTGGGGTTCAGTTCTAGGGCCAGCTCTGCTCAAAACTCTTATCTGGAATTGAATGCACCATTAGCAGCTTTGCTGATGACACCAGCCTGGGAGACACAGTTGGCTCTCTCAAGGTGCAAGTGGCCTTGCAGGGGGATCTGGAAAGATTGGAGTATTGGGCTGTCGCCAGTGGTGTGACATCTAACAAGAACAAATGGTGGGTTCGGCAGCTGGAACAGGGAAACACTGAACAGTACTGTGACTTGGGAGAGAAGTGTCTGAAGAACAGTCATGCAGAGAGAGATCTCAGGGTTGACAGCAAGCTGAGTATGAGCCAACGTGTCCCCCAAGCCAAGAGGGCAAACTGCACCCTTGAGTGCATCTCTCACAGCACAGCCAAACAGTCAAGAGTGGGGATTGTCCTACTATATTCAGCATTGTCATGGCCTTCCTGTGAGTACTGTGTGCAGTAAGAAGCATATTAAGGGACTTCTAGGGCAACCAGGCTAGTGGTAGGGCTGGAAGGCCTGTCCTCTGAGGAGCAGCTGAGAACTCCTGAGTTTGTCTGCTTTGGAGAAGAGGACGCCWGAGGGGTGACCTCATTGCTCCCAGCAGGTCTGCGAGAGAGGAGATGCTAATCCCTTCTTCCTAATATACAGCTATAGGATGTGTGGGAATTATTCAAAGTTGCATGAAGAGAGGTATAAAGAWGCATATTTTTACTGATAGGGTGGTCAACAACTGGAATAGGTTTCCTAGAGAGGGAGTCAGTGTTTAAGAGGCATTTGGACAATACCCATAGTACGATGCTTGCAAATTAAATTTTGAATTGATCAGGCAGCTGACTAGATACTACTTGTAGGTCCCATCCAAATGAGATGTATTCTACAACAGTCAGAGAGTAAAAGATTTTTAGTTAGTTTTTGTTACCACTGAAGATACTGCTTTAGAATCGTAGTTATGACCATGACATGCGTGTTGCATAAGCATCTTCAGTATTCTTAGAGCTCTAGGTTTTTGACTGATTCTTCCATAGACTAGGATTTGAATTGCACATTATTGATTTATTATTAGTTTCTCCCTTTTTCAATTGGATTTGCTTGAATCTAGAAATCTATGCCACGTATGTAATAGGGTTTTTTTTGCATTATCTAATTTAGACATTTGCTTAGGTTACTCCGAATTCACAGTAGCAACTCACTTTCCATTTTAACCCATTAAGAAAAAATGGTAAAATGTATAGTGAGGCTGACAGAAATTGACTGTATGAGTAGCATATTTATGTTTAAAATACTTTCTTATTTAGAAGGATGTCCATAATGCTTGTTGTAGTCTGAATTGCTTAGCTTCTACTTTAGTGGAAACAAAACAGAAGACACAATATGTATAAAACAACTTTATTTTTTCATCACAGTCATCTTAAAAGTTTCAGAATTTTCTTCTGTTTGATGCTTTGAAGTATGCATCTTCTTTCTAGTTGAGGACTAAAGAACAGATGAAATAAATGAAGAACGTGGAAGGGACTTTGTCTTGAACTGAAAGGTGAAATTTTTGTCTTTGTTACTAGCCTTAGCTTCAAATGAAAAAGCTGGGTATTTTATTCTGCACTGAAACACTTAAATGCCTGGGGTAGCAGTTGATGCTGTTTCACATCATAGTTGAGAGTGGTGGAAATGATCATGTTGATTTTTTTTTTTTAATAACATCAGAAATTGGAAGACTTTGAAGAAGGGTGTGTATATTTTATCTCCTTCCCGTTCTTAAAAGTTTACAATTACTTCTCACTTGTATAATTCATTGGACTATAGTGAAAATATAAACCAAGTCTGAATGCTGTTATGTGTGCCTTCAAGAAGGATATTTAAACAAGTCGTGTAATTACACCAGAGTTCAGGACAGAATTTGAAGCTGAGGATCTCAGTATTATATTTGATATCTCTTTAAAGGTAGTTAAAATGGTGCCTAAATATGGGACAGAGAAGTCATTATGCATAGTACAATTGTAAATGTTTTATGTGTAGTATGATAGCACATACTATAATATCATAATATAGTAACAATTTTTTTTATTAGCTCTGAAATGTTCTGTATTGAACTTCCTGAATGTTGTAAACACATTTCCTAGGCACCTAGCTTGGGATTGTAAATTCTGGAGTTTCTAATAGAAAGGTCTGTCACTACTTTTGAGTTTAGCACTAAATGCGTAGACACAAATTCTTTTTTCTAAAGTTTTATAGCTTTCATGTAGTTGCTGTTTGCTAGTTATTGAAAGTGACTCTGTCAGCATTCTGTAAACAGATGCCTTTGCATGGTGTTTGGTGAGTGGTGATTGAGCTGAGTTCTGGAAGTTGAGCAAGTCTTGTTCCATGGGTGTAAGAGTAGTTCTGGAAAGCCAAGTGGAATGGTTCATTGTGTGGGTGGTTCACATGGGACCCAAGCCCATGCAGCAAAGCTGTGGAGAGTGACAAAAGCAGATGCAGTCTGCTTGTCTGTGATAAGCACTGTGCCTTAATCCTGAAATGTGAGTCACTGCCTCTTCCTTCCGTGCTTTGTAAAGCATACAGGGCATTGACTCTACAGTATTTGTCTAATTCTAAAGTAAGTAATTATAGCTAAGTAAAAGTAATTATAAAGTAATTATATTTATAATTATAAAGTAATTATAACTAAGTTTTTTAACTTGTTATCTATAAAAGACTTCACAGACTATAATAATACTGTCAATCATGACTTGTATTATACCTTTGCTATACTTTTCTTTAGTTTCTTCTTGGTTTCATTTGCTGTACTTTACAGATGCATAAAACACATAGAGAATATGTAGCAAGCCAATCTTTTTCTCAGTAGAAGTATGCTAAAAAGAAGTATGCTTTTGCGCAGATTTTTATGTGGTTCTTATATTTTGCTGATAAGTGCCTTTATAGGCTTTTTGTATTTACTACATAAATTCTGTACAAAACTGCAGATGGTGTTCTTACCGGTCTTAATAATTTAATGTAAACTCTTCACAGCATGAGACCTTGAATTGTCTGACCTCTGAGTTTCATAGAGCTAAGTGTGTATGCTTACGATAAATTTAAAAAAAAATTGCACTAAGTATGAATATAGTGGTATTACTGGATCAGAAAACAGCAAAAAATTTACATTACTGGATTGTTTTAAAATACTTTTCAGGGTTAGAAGGCAAAACAGAAAAACGCGAAGATACGGAGTTTTGGATATGAACGTAGAAAACATGGAGCTGACCCCATTAGAACAAGATGATGATGATGATGATACAACACTATTTGATGCCAGCCATCCTCGGAGGTTTGTATTTCAGAACCTGAATGTACTTTTAGCAATAGAAGTGAAGGAGTGTAGTTGATAAGCAGTTTCTCTGAGAAAGCTCACTACTGTGTTTCATATGCATAGTTGRAGAAGGGATGTCAAGATCACTTGAATTTTAAGTAAGCAAGAATTTAGTGGGCAAGAAGATAAACACCATTTGTCTTCAACATGTGAGCTCCAGAGAAATGGAGAGGAAGGTAGGATTATTTTTGTTACAAATACAGTGTGTCATTATTGAAGCTAATGTTAAAGTCAACAACTAGCTTTTACGTTTCTCTTTTCTTTTTTTTTTTTTTTTTTTTTTGGAGGCTCCTCAGTTTTTCCTGTGTATTCTCGCCTATGAGTTCTGTTTCAAGCGGCTTTGCTTCATTCTGCTTTCTCATTGCTGAAGTAGTCAGCAGTTAGTTGATGATGATTCTGCACCAAGTTCTACATTTGTTAGTGCTGCATTGAATGATTCATATTCTTAAGCTACTCTCCGAAACTTTATAGGTACAGGAAATTTTTTTTTATGTTTCCCTATTTTGTGTAACTTCTGTTATATTTCCTTTGTGTCCTTACATTTAAACATTATGATAAATTCAAGCATAAATTTGTGCAATTCACACTTAATTTCCTTATTGAGTAATGCCATCACATTGCGTGTGCAAAGGTACAGTAAAAAAATGGATGGGATTATCACAGTAATAGTTCATAGTGAGGGCTACTTGATTACTGTCAAGTATCAAAAGAGATCGGATGAATTCTGCCAGAAACAGCAAGTAATTGAATCACACTGTTTAATGTGAAACCARATTCAAATCTCAAGCGAAACAGTTTGACAAATGCAATACATGATGTCTCAAATGAATTAAATGTACTGGAGTAGTAAGTCAGATATTCTGCTGTTTGTCAGAAAGAACTTTGGACACAGTTSTGGAGCTTGAAGTGAAAGGTTTAGTCTGTTTTACCTTTGTCTCCTTAGAGGGAATCTTTCTGATTTAATTTTTTTTTTCATAAGTCGAAGACCCTCTCGATTTTTTTCTCCCTCATATACCACAATAAATTAGCTGGAACATTTCCACTTACGATTCCTCTGTATTCTAGAATTATGTGACATTTACCATTACCCTATGTTACTAGTCTTGTTCCAGTATATATAGTCATATGTAAACTGTAATTAATAATTGTCACATTATATCCAGCCATTCCCTCAATGTCTTCCTTAAATCTTTTAACTTCTGTTGTAATTCAGCATACTTGTTAGACATTTGAGGTATTTGATGACCAGTTAACATGATGTTCTTTATAAATGCTTATTTATAGGAGTGCCAAGTATGTTTTTTAGTAGAAAGTAAGATGTAGTTAACAAACAGTGTTATCCAATTATAACTTTCAGAGAGTGTATTTCTGGGTTTTGTTTTTTTTTTNTTTTTTTTTTTTTTGTTTTCTTTCCCGTTTTCTAAACACTTCGCTCTAAGGGAGAAAAAAATTAGTTGGAGTATTTAATTGTGGCAGTATCTAAACTGTTGTTTCAGTGTCACTCTGAAAGTATGTGCTGGAATTATTGAAGTCCTTATTTTAATACTGGGTTCTCAAGAAAACAAGGACTTCAGTTATATTTAGTGAAAGTGGTGAATTTTCTCTGGTTTTGTATATTGAGATCTGACTGTATTCTTTATGGAGAGAATATATTCTTCTTTATTCTTCTTTAAATTTTAAGAGCTACTCCTTATTTTGAAATAGTGTTCATATGTAGAATGAAAGCAGTGCTGCGCAACATGAATTCACAGATCTCTGTGGAATGGCTTGATAAAATGCTGTTCAGGCTTTGCAAAGATAGGTCATTGCTGGGAGGATAGTTTGAAAACTAGAGTACTTGAATTATTTTACTTTTAAAAATCTTGATTGGGAATGTACTTTTTAAAGTTACTTCCTCTTGTTTCAACTTCGTATCTTTTCTAAAGCTTAATAATCAGTCTTCATGTCACCACTTAAGCACAGTGACCAAACGAAGTACAAAATGCCTAAGTAAGCAAAGAGTCACTGAGGACAGCTTGCTGAAAGTAATAGTCAGATATTCTCAGGAGATGTCAGATATTCTCATTACACTTTGTTCTGACATTTGCAGTAATTCAGAGGTATGGTTGGGTTTGTTTTGAAGGTAGCTTAAATATATAGCCAGGCATAGAGCATGGGAACAAGGAAGAGAGACCTTTAGTAATATTTTGATTTTAGTATTTTTTTAAGTAAAAAACAGTTGCAGTTTTACTTAGAATCAACAATTGAGCTTTAGTTCTTAAATTTTTTTCCCTCATAATGGAAGGCACTAAAAAACTGAATGCAGTTACCGGAAATTCTTGTCTTCATGTTCATATACATTTGTTATTCCCATCAAAGTAGGCAAGTTTTGGTTTATGTATAAAAGCATTGTTTCATATATATAAATATTTTTTTTCCCTATATTTTGTGACCCGCTAAAAGACTGTAGTGGCACCCTGGTTTCATTTTGCTTGCATGAAACAAGCAGGCTTATTTTGAGGTGATACTCTACAAAATAGTTAGAAATATGAATATTTTACATGCATATGTTAGAAATCCTTATAGGCATGTTTTGGTTTAGCTGATAAGGGTTTAGACCCTTTCCAAGAGTAGGCAGAGAAACTGACTTCTCTCCTAGAAATTACAATACTAGTGTTAGTATACTGGTGTCCAGATAAAAATAGTGCTTTCAAGGATTGCTATTCTCTTTCAGAGTTATATGAAAAAAGGTTCCCAGAGCATCAGTTGCAAGACAGATACAAGTTAAGTGTACTCCCACTGTCGTCATCACCCATGTCACTAGTCTCTGTGATGCTGCTGTTTGGGGATGTTTGAGGATGTTTTACCCATTTTGCTCAATAGCATACTATTAAATGTCCAAGCCTGAAATTCTAACCTTTGGTCTCTTGCAATACCACTTTACCTGCATGCTGACTGAGGCGTGCTATACTGATACCACATCTTTGTTTTTCGAAGTTGTATCACACTAGTAGTTTGCAATCCTGATTGAATGAATTCACACAGAACCTACTTGCTCAGTGCTGCAAGGCCAAGGAGAAGAGTTTACCCTTTTTTTTTTTTTTTTTTTTTTTTAATAGCATTCTGTAACTGGAATGCTACCAGGAATGTCTTGGTTTGAGACAATGTTTTCAGAGAGAAAATGTTACAGAGTAAATGTTTCCTGTGAAGTGAAAAATTTGATGATTTTTTCCCACCAATACGAAATAGATGGTCGGGCAAACATGAAGAGAAAAAAAAGAAGTAGTTTATTAACAAAACAGGGTGCCCACAGGAAACAGATTAAAAAGTAACTGTTAGATATCTAAAGGTCCAGGAACGCAGGCCGCCCCCTCACCCCGGAGCTGCATGGCCACATGGTGTGGAGAAAAGATGGTGGCTCCTGTCCCTGGGAAAAAAAAAGAAACAAAAGAAAAAAAAAGTCCACGTGGCCGCYCTAGCAACAGTGGAAAACCTGATGATAGTCCTCAGAGTGGATAAAACAGAGGGCTCGGTGTGCTTTTCTTTTGCCAGCTTGGCTTCTTCCGGCGTCCAGGATGAGACAGAGTGGCGCCGCCTGTCTGTGCCAGCCWCTGAATTGTTCCAGAAGAAAAATCACAGGAGCTACAGAGGGGTTGGCAGTCCAGGGAAAACTGTTTGCCCATGCTAACAAACCTGAGCTAGCTAAACWGCAACAATGTAACTCTGCTGCACACTCAGCAAGCAGGACTCCCCCAGTGCTGAGCTGAGGTCCAAAAGCCTGCGGCAGTGTGGCAGCCCCAGCTTTTAACTGCCTGCACTGCCTTCCCTCCTGCCCCTGCCCCTTGTTCCGGGTCGCATGTAAAGGCACAGGCACCTTTTGGGCATACAAGCTCATGAAATATAGGAATACAGGATTGGCACAAAATCAGCCCAAGACAAGGACTTAAACAAAGTTTCAGTAAGAGCTCAGGAGCCTTGAAAGTTCAAAAATACATTCTTCATGGTAAATTCCTTTTTATTTTTGTAAAGGAGCTATTTGGAAAGTTTAAATGAATGCAGGTTTATGGCACTTTGCTTCACAGTAACATGATAACTGCAAGTTTTTGTAGTCAAATTTGATAGTAAAGTATCATATCTGTCTGGATTCTTTCATAATGCATGATCTTTAAAAATGTAGACTAAATTCACCTTGAAACAGGGCATTTCAGATTAATGCAGCTATTTCTTCTATTGTAGAGAAGTACGTGCCTTTCAATGAAAGAACTTAATCTTAGAACCGGAGAAGGAGACTGCTTCATGGGAGAAGTAAGAAGCGAGAGGGTATGCAAGTCGGGGGGAACCAGTTTAATTTGTGTATATTACGTCATCCTTAATGTTTTGCGATAAACAACGTACCAATTTGTTGTATCTTTTTGTACGTAGAGATCAGTGTATACCCCATGGGGAGAGTGTACTAATTGCACTAAAATAAAAACCTCTTTGGAAGGGAGATTATGAATAAAACAGGGTATTTTTTGCTTGTTACAGATTTTGTATGCCATTAAGTGTGGCATACACTTTTTTCCTACAGTAATCTGATTTTTTTTTCAGATATTAAATTGTAAGTAAATGTAGCCACTGTGGACTTCTTGCAATTGCTAGAACTTGACTTTCATTGAGGAGATGATTTATTGTTTACAAATAAAAACCCAATCTACTCCCTTCTGTGTTGAGACTTTTTTTAAGCTGAACTAACATGTTTTCTGTAAACTTCAGTGAAAAATAAAATATTATTACAGTGTTCCTAGCATTTAGCATGATATTTCAACACTATATGTTTTAAGGATATTATTATAACTGTGTCAAACATAATATTGCAGCATCATGTTGCTCTTGAGACTGCTGATTGCAACTGTTGTGTTCATTTTTTTGTGAGGTCTGTCTTCAGCTTCTGTGAACAGATGTGGCTCAGGGACTTTAGGATGTTGCTGGTGTAGTCCATGGGATGTCAGTATTCAGACCTGTGGTGAAGAAAAGATAAGCCTTTGGGAAAGTACTAAATATTCTTTAACTCTGAAATGTGAAGTTGACATTAGAAGCAGCTGTTACTAAAATGTATGGTAATAGTCACATGAATGTTGTTGACAACCAGCAGCTATGCTCATGGCTGGTGCCATAAAAATTATTAGAACTATCTTTAAGCCCTGGAAGATATGCTTTTTTTTAATGTGTTGCAGTTTCCACCATAATCTTGATAATGTAGACAAAATGTTCAAATTCTAGTTTAGAATTAGTGTCTATTTTTATTGCTAATTCCATAAATCCATATACATTAGTATCAAGGCATAAATTTGCTACAACAGTATGGGTGGGGGTGACTATGTTTCATGAAAGTGGCTAAGTTATAGCTTAGCAGAGAAAGAGGAATAATTTTTCCTTATTCTTCATTGCCTCTTGGTGTTTGAACAAAATTGGAGTAATTTTCTTCGAGGTAATTTCTACAGTGGTAGGGTGAGGAGGGGATCTGCTGTAGATTTTCTTTAYCTCTACCTGCTGATTTGTTGTATTGAAAAACTTCTTACTTCCTCTAATAACAGTTCAGATGAGGTCAAATCAGCCTCCCAAGGTAATTTTCACCTAAAGTTTCCTTTGTGCCACACACAGCTGGGAAATACATTATCCGTATGATAAATGCAAGTCTTTATTTTGCTTCCTCTTGTACCTGACTTTTTCCCCCCATGTTTAAAGATAAAACTGAAATGAAAGCACAGCACGATGATTCTTGGAGAGGCTTAGTTGAGGAATCTAGAATAGCTGGATTGTAGACTGCAGGTGAGGGAACAGTAAATTCTAGAAGTATGTTGTTTCTATATCTAAAAAGGACCACCAGTATTAAAAYGAAACATAATTGAAATATTTAATGTGTATAGACTGTTTTCCTGACATCCTAGAATTCAATTCTGTTGAATCTTTCTAGTCTTTGAGCCACCCTGAGGAGGTGTTACACTCTGTAAGCATAGGTTTAAGCAAGCATTTGAACTGTTTAAGCAAGTTAGAATCATGGGAAATGCAAACAATCTTTAGGCTCTTGTTTGTCCTGCAGGTAAACCTTGATGTTTTCCTGCAGAAAAAAAAACCAAAATGTAACAGGTTATTTATGTTCCAAACAATTTTCTGGTGAAAAAAAAAAAGCCCCACACATTTTCAAAAAATTTTATATAGACTTCTTTGATCCGTACCTGCAGAATTGTCAGGATCKATTCATAGTCAGATAACTGGTGATAAGCTGGGACAATTTTGGTGTCTGCTATGGCAGATACCATGTCGTTATTGGTGCAAATTTTCTCAATCTTACTCAGCTTATATCTAATTTCAGCAAGAGAATTGTCTCTCACTGCATTTACAAAGACAAAACTAGTCAAAAAACAATCAGCGTTTTGAATGTCTTGATCTTAACAATTGGAAATTGCAGCTGTGAGTTATGTAGAGCCTCTGTTGATAGGTGCAACACCATTTCCAACTCTGCCTGAAAAGTTGTTCTAGCATGCTTTCTAACGTTTGGGAAATGTGCCACTGCAGACGCCACTAACTGAACGCTTGCATAAACAGAACTGAAGTTTATATCAAGCTTATTTATCACTTTAAAATCTCATATAAAAAGCAAGATTAAAAATATGAAGATGAATAATTGCGAAATTTATAACTGAGTAGCCATGTATGGAAAATTTTGTCCTCATTTGAACTAGATATTAATAGACCAGTAAAGAATGCCAGCTGATCCGATGCAGAAAAGCTCCTTGAAGACAGGAATTAGTCCAAGTTTAATGGGGAATAAACTGGGAGAGAGGCTCGATCTCTTCTATAACTTGAATTTCTGAACACAGAAAATGGGACGTGGAGAAAAATCTTGGATGATTAAAAAAAATTATATGTAAAGATACTTATACATTTTTTACAGTATTAAAGCTAACACAGCATATCTGTTAYTGTTTGGGCTTTGTCACTTTTTTCCTTGTGTACTTTGAGACACAGCTTGTACGAGAATATGCTGTATTCTTGTTCCTGGTCAGGTCTGAATGCAGTTCGGTTTCTTGATAGGATGCAGAGCTGGCACCCTGTGGTACTGTGATGGGTCCAAGCATAAGAACTCCTTGGGGTCAAGAGGCAGAAAGCCTATTTTTTGTGTAGACCAGTAAAAGCCAGGAATGATCTTTTAATACATAAGTCAACTGAAAGAGTCGGGTTTCAAAAGACCCAGTGTGACAGGACTGCTTCATAGTTTTGGAATAGACTTCTGTTTGCTACAAGTATTACAAATGTCCTGTTTTGTGATACTGCCGCTGCTGCTGTTACAAATTGTTAACTGTTAAACCCCTGCAGAATTGATCCAGCTTTCTGGAGAGTGTCCGCTGATAAAATTTTTGTGTGATTTTTCTCTGTCCACAGTTGCTCATCATTTCCTCGTGTCTCGTATTCATTTAGCTTACATCTTAAAACATTTTTTTAAGACATGATAACACAAGATTTCTTTTATCAGGGTAGGTGGATAAGTTCAAGTCTTTATTAAGAAATCCAAAGAAGGTTCTTAAATCATGAAAGCTTTTGCATGTGATTTCCTTCTTTTTCTTCAGTTGGGAAAGTATGAGGTTGTTTTTGACATAAGCCTTTTGGATGCTTACAGCAGTATACTTTACACAAAATGCAGTATGTAAAGTTTTTGTAAATGACTGTGGACACATGAACCAAATGCACCTTAAGTAAATTTGCTGCCGATACTAAACTGGGAGGAGCTGTGGACTCCCTCAAGGGTAGAGAAACCTTAGAGATCAGAATAGACAATGGAGCAGGATGATCACCAGATATGAAATTTAATAAAGAGTAAGTACTGGATTCTTCAACTGGGATGAGATAATAATAAAATGATGGAGAGCAACCCTACAGAAAGATGTGGGCATTTGAGTTAATGGCAAGTTGAATATGAGCAGTGCCCTGGCTGTCAGGAAGGCCATCTGTGTCCTGGGATGCATCTGGGTGAGGGAGGGACTTGTCATGCTGTGTCTGTTTTGAGCACCACAGTAGAAACTACTGCTTTGTTCAGCTTGGAGAAGAGAAGACAGCGGGCAAGAGGGTTGGTAGTGTGGGAGATACTGATACCTCTGCTGACCAGTGAAAGGGCAGAAGGGAAGGGAATGAAGTTGCATCCAGTGGAACTAGTGTTGGACATAAGAATGTAGTCTAAGTTCAAAAGTTATGCTAGAGTTCCTTTGATACCTGTTTGTATCAAGCTAGGTAACGCACACTTGGTTTATTGATATTCTTCCCTAAGCCTCACTGTTTAATAGAAACAAAGTTTCATTCATAGTAGCTTGAGAAAACTTGGTTCATAAAGACAGAAGATGAAACAATACACCTCCTCAAGCATTTTCATGTTTTAAAGAAAAATCTGTCAGTTCAACAGCTAACTGGATCAGGCATTGTACAAAGAAGCAATTTATTTTTACAAACAAATTTTTTATTCTTTCCRCAGCTTTTTCTTATAAAGGAAACATCCTACAAAAAAGCCTGTAGCTAAGGTAAATGGCATTTATGAGGAATCTTTATGAACCTCCTTAAAGAGACAACTTTATTCAAATGTCTGTATGCCACATTTTGAAACTTGGGTGATTTCACAGGGAATATGTTTGCACTGATCCTATTCCTTTCACCTGCCTTGGCCACTATCCAAAATGAGATGTGTGACTACATGGATTTCTATTCAGACAGAATATAGTTATTCTGTCCTCTGATAGAGTCCTAAGACACCTCATCTTTCTAAACAGAAAACACAGTTTATGAAGATCTATATTAAACGTACTGAATCAAAGCAGACAGATGTACATCAGCATTCTTGTAATGTTTCTGAAAGTTAGTATTCCACTTCCCAGTAAGAAGATTGTTCAGATATGTTGTGAAATGTCCTTCTAGCAAATCTTTGTCTTTCCTGCTAGGAAATCTAAATCTTGTTTTTTGTAATTTTAAGCCTGTTGCCCTTAAGCTACAATGAATGGTAGTATAAGAGCTTGGTTTTTTTTTGCAGATATGCCGTTTCTTTCAAGATCATTATATTGCCACTCCATCTTTTCTAAACAAAATTCCGTCAGTTTCTTTCCTGCAAAACTCCAGGCGTTTTGCATAGCTTGATTTTTGGTAGTGAAGCGGGGGCTGCAGGTTGAGCTCCTGTGAGAAGCTGCTGGAAGCTTTCACCATCTCCAGCAGAGCCAATCCCTGGTGGCACCAAAGATGGAAATGCTGCAGGCCAAGGCTGGGCCAATTGGAAATGGTGCTAATATTTCTGTGATAACATATTTAAGAAGAATAATTAAAAAAAAAAAAAAAGTTGTTGCACAGTTTTTATTCCAGCCAGAGAAGAGTGGAGTGAGAACATGTGAGAACAACTCTATAGACACCAAGGCCAGTGAAGGAGAGGGACGAGGTGCTCCATGCACCAGAGCTGGGATTCCTCTGCAGGTCATGGTGAAGACCATGGTGAGACAGTGCCCCTGCAATCCCTGGAGGTTTACAGGGATGCAGAGATCCACCTGTGGCCTGTGTAGGAGCGCACACTGGAGTAGAGGGATACCTACAGGAGGCCTTGAGATTCCTTTGGAGAGAAGGGCCATGCTCCCATGCTGGAGCAGCCTGTCTTGAAGGACTGCACCCCACGGGAAGAGTGACTCATGCTGCAGGAGTTTGAAGGAGGACAGCTGCCTGTGGGATAGACTCCTATTGCAGCAGTTTGCAGAGCTGCTGATGAGATGGACTGACGTCAGAGAAGTTTGTGGAAAACTGTCTCTCATGGGAGGGCCACCACAGTGCAGCAGGAGAACGACTCCTCTCCCTGAGAAGTGGGAAAAGCCTTTGGGTGATGAACTGACCATAACCTCCATTCCCTGTCTCCTTGCATTGCTGGGCTAGGAGGTCCAAGTGGGAAGAAGGGAAGGGTAGAAGGAAGGTGATTTTAAGGGCTTGTTTTACTTCTCATTATCTTGCTCTGATTTTATTAGTGATAAATTCACATCCCTAAGTTGGTCCTGTTTTGTCCATGATGGTATTTGTTAAGGGATCCCACCTGGTCCTTATCGCAAAACATGAACTCTTTGTAACATTTTCTCTCCTCTGTCTAGCTGCAGAGGGGAATGACTGAGTGGTTTTCATGGGTGCCTGGCATCTGGCTCATGCCAACCTACGGCACCTTCCGAGACAAGTATAATTGACAGCCTTTCTTACTATGCCTTCAAATCCTGCGTCTAAGTAATCGATGAAGACATTGAAGAGCACTGGGCCTGGAATGAAGCCCTGTGGAACACCCACTAGTGACAGGTCACCAGCCTGATGTCACCCATTTGTTGTCACCCTTTGTGCCCAACCTGTGAGCCAGTAGCTCATCATCAGATTATGTGTTTATCCAGGTAAACGCTGGACATTTTGTCCGGGACACTATGAGAGACAGCATTGAAGGCTTTACTGAAATCCAAAAAGGTGATCACCTCAACTGTCTTCTCTTGATCAGTGAGGTGGATAATCTTGTCAAGAAAGGAAATCATGTTTTTTCAGCAGGATTTTCCCCTCATGAACCCATGCTGGCTGTGATTGATGACCGTGTTGTCCGTCAGGTATTTTTCAATAACACACAGAATAATCTTCTCTATAATTTTGCCAGGCACTGAGGTGGGACTGACAGGTGGGTAGTTGTGGTCGACGGGGAGCAAGGTCACGCAGACACCAATATGATGAGCGTGATCCGTTTATTTCTAATACAAGCTCCTTTTTATCTATTTTCATAAGCCAGCCTTTCTATATGATTAGCAATGCCTTTCTATATGATTAGCAATTATTCATTGGTTAATTTAGCAGTCTGTCTATTACATTTCAGCATATGATTGGTATATTTGCAAAAGCATGTTTTTGCATGCCTTGCAGTTTTAAATCAATGTTCTCAGCATTTTGCACTTTCTTCAATCRTCCTATTGTTCTTCAATTGCTCTTTGTTCTTGCTTCTTACTATGTTTCTTCTTCATGGTCAGCGCGAGGTACATGTTACCCTGCTGTAGTCACGTCCTCCTCTTTCCCATCTTCTTCTATCTCGTTCTGCTCTATCTTGTAGTCTGGGTTGCTCAGTAACAGCAATTCATGACCTCGTTCCCACAAAAACCTGTCTAACAGAGATTCATCTAACTGAGATCCTTCTACAGGTAGTTACCAGGGTCATCCCTCTTGCCCTTCTTGAAAATTGGGTTGTTTGCCAGCTTTAAGTCAAATGGGTCCTTTTATGTTTCTGTGAGTATATGGTGATGGAAACATACACAGAGGTTGCTGCAGCTATCATATTTTTGGTCTTGAGATGTATAAATCATTTCCCTTCCTCCCCTGGCCATACAGAAGATAAGCTACCATATTTTCAGTTTCAGCATGCTAAATTTTTATTGATGTGGAGCCTTAGATGCTGTAGCAGCTTCAGAATCCTTTGATACTATAAAGTACATGCAGAAAATAGGGTTATAAGTTTAATATTAGTAGCTACACATCTGCTTTACATCTCCAAGGAGGGTGGACATTCTAGAGTTTGTGCAGCTTATGACATCATTCATTTTTCCTTAGGCACTCTTAAGATCAGAGGTTATTTGCCTGAGCAGCTGTGGTGCTTCTGCTCCAGTTTTTTCATGTTTTCCACTAACACACCATGAAATACCTGAGTGCCAGTGTGCCATATTGAAGTATTTTTGGATATAGACAGTAGAGAGTCATTAAGATTTTCACTTATCACCTTGGCAACTCTAGCTGTCCCCAAGAAAAACCCTTAAATTCACTTCTGTTGAAGTTTTAAGAAAAAGAATGCTAAAGTAAGCTCTATTAAGAAGTTGGTAATTATAAAATGTGTTGTTAGTTATTTTTTTATTTTAATGCAACCTCTGCTGTCCTTGGTGCAGGTTCATGTCTTCAGTACCTATGAAATTGAAATATTTTCTGCATTTTTTAACACCRTAGATGCTTTTCTGGCTCTTTGCATTGTTAGATACCATAGATCACAAGCAAAATAATTTGTGATCTTTCAAATCTTAAAATAAACTTTTGCATGTTAGATTCATTTTTGTTTTGTTTCTAAATTCATAAAAGGGAAATATTATGATTAAAAATAGCATGTTGAAAAGTTTTGGAGTTTTATCTGGGTATTGTTGGTTTAGTCACTGTTCTTTCGCTTCACAGTTGTGCTTTTGTGTGCAAAGTATAGTGAAGTAACTGTAGTCAACACCCCTTATCCAAAAGTGTGAGACTTGCCTTGAATATGACATTTGAGAACAAAATCCTGTTGAACCATTTCAGATTGTCTTTTGKTTTTTTTCTTACAGCAAACACAAGTTCAGCTTAGAGTAGCATATGTGCCAATCTCCAGTGAGCAAAAGCAAGAGAAGGCTACTGTGAATATGTTTTATTTAGTTAAGTTAAATCTACATCTTCTTAAAATCTTTCTCTAGGTTAAATGGCAAGGTGATGATAGTTTCACATTTTCAGAATTCATTTGAATATTTTCTTCAGAGGATACTTAAAGTGTAAGACTGACAATGGACTACAAACCTGGTATGTAGATGAGGCATAAACTTGTCTATGCTTTGGAGTGAAGTTGCAACTCTAACAGTGGTAGGAAGAGGGCATATGCTTTGTCCAAAGTTAGCCCTTGACCCAGCAACCCATTTTGGGTTATTAAATAGACTGACCTCTTTTGACCATTGTTRCATGTGTCAGTAATATCCTATGCACTCTTCAAAATTGTTGACATTCAGTCCTGGAAATATTCATGGCAGACTTTTCAGGGACTCTGTGCCCATGAGCTGAAATATGAGGCAGCAAAGCCTCCAAGTGTATCTCTTTTCTTCCTAGCTGCAATCAGGAGTCTGGTACCGAACTTGTTATTTAATGTCAGTAAGAAGTCATATGGATGAAATAGGTATGCTACGAAAGTTTAACTTGCATGGCAAAGTAGTATTTTCTAGTTACTTGCACCAGTTTGAAGTTTACAAAACAAACTGACTCCAACAAGACTTTCCCAGGAGTGTTGTTGATTGTGGGAGGAAGATGACAGTTTCCTGTTGTAGAAATACAGAAGAAGAAACAACATTCAGCCTGTATTGCCTGAATCTGAGAAGTGGTATTCTGTTACCAGCAATGGCGAAACCAAAAGCACTCAAAAGGTTTTCTCCTGAGGATATTTCTGAATAATGTCAGTGATACATCTGGCATAGATGTGTGACAGCAGTATCCTATCATCGCTGACAGACCATCCATCTACTAACATTACCAGCCAAAGAAAGCCAAGTGGTGACTTTGTTGAGGCTACTGCCAAATAGTTACATTTTCTTCTGGAATATAATGCCTAACCTTCTACTACTAGCTCTGGCTAAGATGGCTGGTAGCCCAAGCCTCTTTTTTGTCCTTCTTTATTTTGACTGTCARCTGCCAGTCAGCGTGGACTTCTTTTTAACAAGAGTTCTCAATCATCCAGCTTCCTTATCAGCCAAGCACTCAGGAAACATATTTGATTATGATTTTTTGTGGCTTTTTTTTCTAGGGCCATTGTAACCAGAAGTGGGTCCCTCCAGCCATACTGTGAGGCTGCTGTGAGGGACTTGGTCAAAGCAGTCAAGCTCTGTGAGCAACTCCTAACATGAGAGGGCAGTTACCCTTCAGTGTATAAACAACTGCCAGTGAAACATGGATGAAGTGGTGCCAATGTATTTTATAATATTCTCTTGTAAATTTATGTACCTTTTTGGAACTTTGTTTGCATGTTACAACATACAGGTTTTCTGTCATTTGGCATTTGTTTCTGTTATTCTGGCATTTGTTTTCTTTCTGTCTTTGGCATATAAATGCTGCCTTTTGTGTTGTTTGTTCTGCTGTCAGCTTCTTGAGGACAAAAGGCTGTGTCCAGATCACTTGAAGGAATATGAAAGGAAATGAAGAGCAGTGGAATACAAAGAGGAGCCATGAAAGGAATGGTAATGTGAGCCTTCTTGCATAGGTATCATTCAGAGGTGCCATTAATGAATACATGAACCAAGTGATTGCATTTTGCTGCACTATAAACAACTCCATGAYTTGCATTTTTCCTCCTTTTCTCCCTCCTCTCTGTCTAACTTCTTCTTTCAACAAGTGCACCCTTTTCTATTGTGTACTACGTTCTGACAAGTAGACATACCCTTCCTAGGAAATGCAGCCAAGGACAGTCACTGTTCAGAATCAAATTCAACCTGCTCTGGGTTTGGCATCCCTCATCTGTTCATGAGAATACCTGGATGCTCAATTCATGGTCACCTGGCAGAAGATAAGGACCACTATTTCCAATAGCTTTGATGATTAGAATTGGAGCCCTTTATCGCTGGAGCATCAGTAGTAAGGCAATGCTGCTAACGATGTTATAGCTGATGTCCCACATTTGGAACAGGTGCCAGCTTATCACAGGAGACAACTGCTGGATATGGAACGCATCAGTGTTTACAGCCAGTTTTTTAATGTGTGTGAATTAATCAGTTCTGCTGAGATGTGGCTGTCAACTCACTATTCTGTTGATTGAGACTGCAGACTCCTCTATTAGTCACTGGATTTCTCATCTGTGGGCTGGCAGGAGTTGATATGTGTGCTGAATTCTGGGGCACTTACACTAAATATTTCAGGTGGTGCCACAGATCTTTCTTGTAACTCCATTAACTATAGTACTGTACTGCTGTGCGGCTCATCCCTTCGAGGTTAGTGTTGCCTGCTTCAGGACTACAAGAAAAGCCGAGAAAATGCAGGCTGCTGAATAGAATATAGCACTACCTCCAAAAACTGGTTCAAGAATGTAAACTCCTGCACCCAGAAATTTATGGGTACAAAAGTTAAGGGGATCAGCCTGTATACCTGTAATTTTTTTTTTAATAATGGTGGATGTAGGCTCAAAAAAATACCAATTCAAAACTGTTCAGACAGCAGCTTAGTCTTTTTTTTTTTTTCCTTACCAAGTATTTCAGACTGAGTGTCTGCCTCTCCCATGCTTTACTAGAAATCTCTTGAAGCTCTAGTTGATAATAGCTCTACCTCATCTTCCTCCACCTTGTCAATCATGGATCGGTGCAGCTTAATGCCTCTTCTGAGGTATGTGTGGAGAATGAAAGTAAATTGGAGGCAGACCTTAATAAAACGAGATAGAGGATAGAAGAGCAGATGAGTTCGTAGTAAGATGAAAAATCTTATAGCACATCTTGTATAATTTGTCTTAAATCATGCCTTCTTAATATCTTAAATCTTGATTTAGTGACCCATCTGTGATTTATTAGTGTAGGTGTGAATGAAGATATGTTGATGTTTTCTATATTAAAATGTTTTACACATAAAGTTAATTATATATAGCCTAAATAGACCCTTGAAAATAGTGTCTTGCTTTACCTAGACATAGTTGCTCAGGCGTATGCAGATCATTGTGATATGTTTTTTTTTTGTGACAGGTTTTTTTTTTTTTCTGTAAGATGAATGCATCTGTGTTAGCAAGCTCATTTTACATATATGTCAGCTCAGGCACGTGGCAGATAATAGCATGTGGCAGATAATATTTCTGTTTAAAATTTAGAGTTTATGTGAAGGATCAGTCTAGGCATGATGGTTATATCTCATTGCAATGTATTTAATTCCCTCTTGAGGAATTCTATTCAAGATAGATTATTCAACATACTCCACACAGTGTACTAAGAGTAGATAGAGTTTACTTACAAGCTGTGCAGATGTTTACCTCCAGAACAGCTGCACTACTGCACTACTCACAGCTTTGCTTTGTAATGTTCTTACTATGCAGTAATATTTATGCTTATTTAAACAAAGTTTTCAAAGCACTTATTCTTCCTCCCTAATTTCCACAAAGGTCAGCTGGATTTAACTTCATGTCTAATGTCTCTGCTCATCTTTAAGCATTTTATGTTATAGTAATGGAGTTCCAGTTTGCCTGAAAGAGTCCGGTAAATACATCAGGCCACTGCAAAGCCTGTGAAATTCCCTGTGGAAAGTGTGCAGGCAGACACCATACCCTGTTCATATCAAGGAACCTGTGTTACTTAGGAGTACTTCAGGAACCTTGACAAACCCGTAGAGTTCTGGAGTGGAAATATTTAAATCTGAAGTGGATGTATTTAAATAATAATTTGCAACATATGAAGAACTTGCAAACCACTTTGATGGTGTATGTGTTCTTCCACAGATATTCAGAAGGCCAAATGCTTCAGTGTGGGGAAAAAAGGAGCACTTACTCAACTTAAAATTTACCATTACATATTTAATGGTAGTATGCAATATTAAAAAAATTAGCTACATGTGCTAAATATTTTTTTATTTATATTAAAGTAAAAATATAATCAGGTTTTGCTAGATAATAAAATTTCTTGGTTTCCTCAAAAATAAATGAAATTGCTTAAAGGTTCTTGTTTGATATGAGTTTCTGTTTAAGATGGATGGAAATCCTTGCATGAATTCCTTAGTATCTGTTTCAAGTGATCTTTASTGTTGTCCTAAGGTGATTATTTTTGGTTTTCAGGATCAAAAGTTTGAGGGGTTTTGCTGGTTTTCATTTACTAAGAGTAACAGTGGTCTGGTTTTACACTTTTTTTTTWAAATTTTAAATCTAAACTTTTTCAATAACATAGTTGATCACTTAGTGGAGAACTGATTGTTGATATTTGTATAGGTAACATTTTAAACAGAAGTTCTCTGATCCTTSCTAGGTTCATTCATTGCTTATGTACATCTTCATTACATGTAAAGCAGTTAGAATAGGTGAAGTTACAATAAAAGATCAAGTGCTTAAATTTTGGAAAGTATTCTACAGATTTTCTCGGTAATTTTATTTTAATTCTCTTCACACAAAATTATATTATTACTGACGCTGTCTCCTTTTTCTTTCCCACAGGATTTTTCTTTATTGCAGGATGAAGGAATTTAATAAATAGACTTTCATTGTATTGTTTTCCTCACACATTTGCATGATTTAGGCCATATTCCAGGATTCAAATGTTTTTCTACATAAAGAGTGACTACTTTTTCCTTAGCTTTATTTCAAGACACCCATGACAATTGTATCTTAGGCCTTCAAATGAATAAAATGAAATCAATCCTTACAGAAACACCTGAAGTTCTTATTCGCACTTTATAGTTAAGATACCAAGACTGTAAGACACTAAATTGTTATTAACTTTAGTACATTATCTTCAGTTAAAACAGCTAGAAATAATTTTCCAGGATGTGGAAGCATTCATATTTTCTATGTATGTGTTGTTTTATTCATTTTGTTTTGTACAAGATTTTACAGAGCCAGAATCCTAAACTGATTGATCAGCAAATGAGAACTACATTGTGAATGGCAAACTGGACAAATTTTGGACAATTTAAAATGAAAATATATCCTTTACATCACCTGGAATCTCAATGGCAAAGCTTGGAGTGAAATCACTTTCTCTAGAGTTTTATTAGTTTTGTTTCTCTTTCTTTTTCCTTTTAAGTTTGAAATAAAGCACATATATCACCATGCATCCCCAGTTCATTCCTCAAATCTACTCCATCTGGTATACTGAATGAAGAGGGAAAAGTACTTTCTAATGATGTAATTAAGGGCTGTTCTGCAGTGCATATGCTCAAGGGCGCAACTTTCTTCTGCTATGATTAAAGAAAAGTTACTTGTCTTTGGACAAATGAGCTAGTAATCAGGAGTCAAAAAAAAAAAAAGGATAAATTTGGAAACGGTTAAATTTGCAATTTTTTGGAGGTGAATACTTAATTAAGAAATCATCTGAAGGAAGAGGGATTTCTTTGAGGGTAGGGAATATGAGATTATGTTTTTGAGGAGAAAAAAGTATTTGGAGTGTTTTCCACAGGTTTAAATTTATTTCATTTTCTCAGTCCAAGAGAAGCTTATTTTGAATTTATTTGCTTTGCACAACCTCTTGCAATTTTGAACCAAAAGATTGCGGGAATCATTTATCAGCAATTGGAAATTTTAAGTTCTATCTGAGGATATGCTTTACTCCAGTTTCTGTGCATACATGTCAACAGTTCGTCTTGCTGTAGTATAGCTGTGTGCTCTGTTTGGAGATACCTGGTTTGTTTCTTTCCCAGCCCTTGGTATTTGGTTTACTCACAAATAAACATAACAGACCAAGAGCTTTGAAACTGAGTAAGTGAAGAAGTCAAGGTTTAATAGACAAGAAGCAGCAGTGTCTTCAGTGTACGGATACAATATGTAGAATCCACTACAAGCTGCTGCAATCAGGAAGGGCAAATCATAAATTCTTTGCTAACCTGTTCTGATCTCAAGGAAAGTGATAGCAGAGGCTTTCTTTTTTATTTTCCCTTTTTTTTTTTTTTTTTTTCTTTCTAAGAAGGAGAAATAAAAGAGCACTACTTTATTTAAAGTTAAGTTTGAAGTAAGGTGTCTTTTCTGGACTAGGGAAAGGTATGCCCCATCTTACCATGTAACACAAATCAGGTGGTTGGGTTTGGTCTTTCTCTACTAAAGCAGATTCTATTGAATGTCTAACCAGTGTAGTTATATAAAGATAAATAATTAAATATGAGAATAAGAGAGTTTATTTTTATTCTGAATGAGAAATAAATTTACCATTAATGCCTAAAACACTAACTAATGAGGTAGATTCCAGAAGACACTACCAAGCCTACAACCTATGCAACCCTTGGGTAGTGGCAAAGGGGAAATAGCATCAGCGTATAAGTCCTAGGCATAACTGCCATTGTCTGGAGGAAGGATGAGGAGAATTCAAACATTCAGATTCTCATCTGCCTATCTGACTGTTATACTTGATTTATCGTAGTGTATTGGTTGTGGACACAGACATATTTTAGGGGAGCTGAGTCAGAGTAGCTGTGAGTGGAAAGTGCTTCCAGCAAACTGGTGGCACTTGATGGCATTTGACTTCTGTAGTCAGAGGTCCTGAAAACATTTTGGACACTTCAACTGCAGAAGTTACAAGCAAATCCAGTTTCAAGTCTGCTTATGTTTTAGGCCACAGAGCAAAAGGAAGTAAAGGAGACCCAGGAATTAACATCACTGGTGACTAAATCCTTCTGAAAGGACATTGAATCCCTAGAAAGGAATGTGTATACAGAGATCTATTTGGCAGACAAACCAAATTTAGTTACAATGCATGTTTACTATTACAATTTATATTTGTTATTTGGTATACAAGGTTTCCTGGGCTCTTTTCTTCCTTT